GGAGGATATTAGCCAGGTTCAGTTTGGAACGAACATAGAATACAGAACAAGGATTGTCTTAGTCCTTTTGTAAGAAGGTGAGTTTCAGGGAATGATCAGTGCACAGAGATTCCACTGGAATAATTGCCTCTGAGAAACAAAACAAAGTGATCTAACAAAACAGAAACATCACTGGTAACCAACATAGTTTCCATGCGAGAAAAACTGATATGTACAAATGCTTTAAAGCAATCAGATGACAAGGCAATAAAAACAGCATTCAGATCTTAGAATGTCACTCTGTCACATTAGTCAGTCTCACTGGCAGACTTTGCCAACAGATTCAGACTATGCAGACAGAGAAATGCAAGCAGCTAGTTGGTACAGATTCAGACACATAGTCTCTACTTACATTATCGCTTTAAATTTCCTATTTTACTCTATCAAGAATGTATTCACAGTAGATTTATACTAATTATTTTCATTTGCATTTGCAGTCACCCTATACTACATTACTGCACATGCACTTCAGTGTCCTCCCAAATGGATTTTGAGAATTAAACTCCTGTTGGATTGAGCCCTCTGGGGCTAATTGTTAAAAAATTGTAACAGATTTTTAAAGCCTTGAAACTGATAGTCTACAGTAAAATGGCAGCAATAAAAGACTATTCCATTGTGTCAGAAAATTAAATAAAAAGCACGTGTTCTTTTCATATGTGCACAGCCAAAGCCAAAAATGAAGATGATTCTATATTACCAGAATATACCAGTGGCTGAAATCTGGGCATTCTTGAAGTCACTAAAGCCATAGGTTGAGGAGAATGAATTCTGATTTAGGATTCTTCACTCTGGATGAAAAATGTCATAGTCACATGATCCACTACTGTTTGCATAGATGGCTTAAGAATTTTGACAGCCTGACCCTGCCTCAGCAGGATTTATGCCAGAACAGAACTTCCTGTGGGCCAACCCTATTTTATGCTGGATCATGCATGGCTTGTCCTCTAGCACCTGCTTAAAGTATATAAGCATAAAGCTGCCAGAAAGCCTGAAGCTGGCACAAGCACTACATCACATGTCTGTGCTTGATCCAGATGAAAACTAAACTAGTGGGTGAACGTGTAGCATGTAGTCAGAGTATGAATGGTAGTTCAACCACTGTCTGGGAGTTCTGCCACTGACTGCCAGGGGCCCTAAATGTCTACCCACTCATTCAAGTGTTTAAAATTTAACACGTGAATTAAAGTCAAGTTCAGTCAAGTACAAAGAAATGCAACAATTTCTTCCCATCTTCTATTTTGCTGGTCATACCCAGTCATCAAAAAAACACCAATTTTTCAATAACTTTATGATGCTCAATAAATAAACTACTTGATTGATCAATGAACATATAAATCTTGAGTGTTAATAATGCCATACTATTAAATCTTTACAGAAACCAAAAAGTATTATTAATAAAAGAGAATATGACTGAATAATAAATACCTGAAACTGTACTGTGTCTTAGCCAATGATACACTATTTTACCCTAGCTATTTAACTTGGATTATATTACCACCAGAATCTCTAAAGACCTTAAGCACATATGTACATTTATTCCAGATTATGAACAACATTTGTATCTGTGTTTGCAAAATTTAAGACATTTTATACTGAGTATTATTTATTCTTATTGGTGTGATGTACAGACTATATTTAGAAATTACTCCATACTTTAAGAATTTTTTTGAACATTAATAATGTTGAGTTAAATTAATTTCACTTTTTCATGGCAAGGCTCCCACAAAAAATTAGAAAAAATTGACCTTAAATTTCAGCTAGTAAAATGAAACCTAAGCTTCACTGGCCATAGTGAAAAGAATTATACTACCCTTCCTTTGTCTGCATTAAAACTCAAAAAAACCCCATACATTCTCTGAAAAATGTTACACTTGGTTCACAAGAATCCCACAGGGATATAAACTTCTAGTAGAGCAGATGTAGCAAGGAGAATGTAAGAGCTTTCCTCAGGGAACTGCATTTTCCCTGTTAGATGCTGAGAAAGTATTTGCCTGCCATGCAGTGTTCTCCACTCACACCAAGGCTGCTCCTAGCCCTGAAGCTACAGCAACTGGCAACTGCTGATGACATAGTCTAAAATATCCAGTTTCTTCAAGGCAAAATATTCTGGTCTTTAAAAATGACAAAAATCTAAAAAAATATTACCTGGACTTTCAAGTGATACAGGGATGGGATACAGTTCATCTAAAGCACAGATACCTTCACGTAGATATAAACTAGTCACTGCACTCAGTGAGGTCCAGTTATCTAGTTAGTTGGTCAAGTGCAGGTGTAGGCTTACTGCTGAGGTGGGCTGCTCTACAGGCTCCACTGACAGCACTGACTACATCTCCACAAACTATGGCAGGACTTTTAGGCATTGAGATGTCATACAGACCACAACATTGTAGGCTGTTACATTTTTATGCATTAACCACATTTTTTATGGCTGTTGGTATAATTCATATTTTTGTCACTCTGATGTGGGTGGCAAACCCATAATATTTTCCATGAAATGGAGGAAGAAATGAGGAATGCAGGGGTAAAAAGAAATCCAGAAGAAACAAAAAATCCACAAAATACCTGCAAAAGCATCAAGACATATGGATAAAACAAAATATCAGCAAGCACTGTTATTTTAGCAACTAGATGCATACTTTTTTTTCCTAGTTCTGGAAAGAAAATTTAAAAAGAAAAGAATTTCAAAATCATTTTCAACATACAAAAAGAGCTAAAATCCAACACTCTAAACAGAGCTATTGTTACATGTCCTGATGTTGAACAAGTTTTTGCCAGCAGTAACATTTTGCCATCAAAAGCTAATAGGCTAAATACCACTCTTCAAATGCCTTTTGTGAGCAGCAAAGGCCTATTGCTCTGAACTAACGAAAAAAATGTGAACATGGATATGCAATTCCAGTAATTTCATGCCCTGCATCTCTAAGTCTCCCAAGTGTCATTACTCTATGTTAAATTAACTTAGGCTTATTTAATGAAATGAAACACTGGATAACTAACATAAACTAGAATTCCCTGAGTCATTATTTTCTATCTTCCAAAACCTACAAGCCTATGCTGATTTTACTGGCTAATTGTAACCAAAAGCCTTGGCACCACTCCAAGAGGTAATAAGGGGAAAATCTAGCATAGTTTTGTCAAGACCTTAAAAGACCTGATTACTGCATATCACTCAGCTCAGCCATCAGAACAATTTACACGGTTACAGACATATGTTGTATTTTGGGAGTCTGGAAGGGAGACACTGCCAAGTGCAACTGGGGAAGGCACTGTTCTCAGCACCTACATTCATCCTGACCAATTATGTCATATTGCATATATGAGTGAAGCCACAGCAGAGAGAGCAGTGGTCCCCTCTGGCACACCAGGTATCCCTACAAAATAAAGCAAAGCTGGCTACATAGTGTGAGCTGACTTAGTTCTGCTAGTCTGGGTATGGCACCGCAGACTGGAGCATGTGCTAGCCCCGCAGAGAGCCTCTGTACGTGCTATCATTGTAAGCAAGTCCTATTGTCAGCAAGTCCAACACAATCATGCTTTTGATGCTAATGTTACATGGGCTAGCAATCATGACAGGTGGACTACGCATATGGTTTCTTCTCCTTTGCAAATATGTCTTTACGTATTTTCTTTTCAAAATACCTTTTCTTTGGTGTTTTTCTAAATTGTGTGTGTGTGCATGTGTTGAAGCTTTGGCTTCAAGCAGCTACACTGCAAACTTAAGAAGCCTTACATTAGATTTTGCCTCTAGCACTGTAAAAATACTCCCCAAAGTGATGTATTTCTACACATCTTTTATACAACAGAAAACCCAAAGGAATTCTGTGCTTGCTAACACTGACTAAACAAAACAAATAATAAATCTTCAGCACAGAAGGTGTTTGCTTCAAACTCTTGTCCACACTCTAAGGTCCTTCCCTTAAGTACCTACTGGAGCAACTGGCAGCAGAAAAAGTATTAATTAATTTAATTAATATTGCTTTTATGTTAAAAATAGTTTATATAAAGGAATGTGTAAACCTCTTAGTAGGATATGTCTGTCTTTCTTATGGTGATTGCTTGTCTTTTTAAATCCTTTTGGGCCTCAAGTCAGTAAAATACTTTAGCACAGTACTTAATGTTAAGCACATATCAATTTCCACTAATCTGAAGCATGCCTTTGGATGACTTACTGAGCTATAGCTTGTGTCATTAATGTTTCCTTTAAAACTAAACATTTTTTCCAGAGAAAAAGAAACCAGGAAACTAAAGAAGATTATGTGAAGCTTATTCCACTGAAAAGAAGGAAGAGTGAATAAAGCCTGAAAACTTGTTCTTCCCCAAAGCATCAAAGGTATCTGCATATTTTAGAGGCTTCAGTCTTAGGACATTCACCTGACATTCCTAATCAGTGGTGAAAAAAGAAAAGCCAAAATTCAACAGTTATAAAAAAGGCAACACAAATAATTTACAGTAAACTGGTGACCAGTTTGATGTAGCAAAATGCAAGTTACACTGTCTTCCCAATTTCCTGTTAACTGGAAGCTGTTTTCTGATAGGAGTTTGCTTTTTTTCAGGTTTGCCTCTTAAGATTTACCACCAAACCATTGTAACCCACATTGTCATTTTCCAAGCATCTTCTTGCTAGACAAGAAGAACACACAAGTAGATAAAAAAGAGGCAGAGAATTACAGAGGATGCAAAAAAAACAATAAATAAATTAAAAAATCGTGTCCACTCAGAGATACAGACAAATGTGAGCCAAAGACTTCAACGGAGTAATGTCTACTGAAGCCTGGCCAAAAATATTTCCATATAAAAGAAACACTTGAACCTACAAAATCATCACAATGCAAGTCATTAGTTGCTATCATATGATGAGAGTGGAAGCATAATGGTTATTAAAATGGCTTTCACTTCAGTTTTAACAAGGCTCAATGCATGTCTTCACAAGAGCTTTGCAAAGTAAGGACACAAGTTCTTACCTGAGCTTTTATTGGTTTTGTTTTGTCTACTCTTTACTTGCTCAGTCCATAAGGTAGGATAACGAGAAGCTATATCTAGAAAAAAATCAACAGAAAAAATTCTTAAAATGCTACAAGTTTTTATTTTATTTTTTTTTTTAAGTTACTAGCAGCTGAATAGTAAGTGGCTAGTTTTAAATATACATGGATCTATAAAAGAAAAGGGCATATTGGTTTCTTTCAGGACAGTTAAAATCTTTATTCATGCAAAGGCATGAATAGTTCCTTTCTTATTCCATTGATACTAAAGATTTAAATAAATACTTCTAGACTAAAATTATGTTTAATTGGAATAAAAAACTCCCAGTGTGGACCCAAAATACGTAATAACATCAGATCAGATTATGCAAGATTTGCATTGAGGGGTAAGGCAGCCAAAATACAGGACTATCATTGCATATGGGCCTTGAGCTTTACATTTACAGAACAGTGAATTTTCACAGAGTCAAATAAGCCTGACAAAACATCAAATGTAGCATTTGATTAACTAGACAATACACTAAGGAAAGAATTTACCCTTTATCTTCCTTATGTAACCATGGAGTTTTAATCCACACTTTGGCTCAAGTTTAAAACCTGTCTCTGCCCCGAGTAGCAACAATCAAAACAGGTAATGTCAGTCGCCATATTTACAGTGTCACCTCAGAACTACCACATGAAATTTGTTGCTTGTAAGTAAAGACTTGCTTGTGCTTATTGTCTTTATTGGGAAAAATGTACAGAGGCTTTCAATTGCTTTCAATTTCTTGCAACTGCTCCACAGCTGTTGCCTTAACTCTGAGGCAGCATTTGACATTGTGGTACAGGTTCCATACTGCATACTTCAATACCACACTGTTAAATTCCTGGTGCTGCTCACCTTCTTCATCACCTTGAGGCTGAGTCTCCAGTGCAGGAGCTGAGGCATCATCTGAATTCAGAATGGAAAAGATTTGCAAGGAGACTACAATTATGAGAGTAAGCTAAATAAGTGTACATATATGATTGATACTAATGATTTGCACATAGCCCCGGCCGGTCAACAAACAATAATTTAAGCATTATTTATAGATGCTACACAGCATAGATATATCTACAGACTATAGACTATAAATGGCTGGCTTTTGAAGTTATGGCTGAGGAAATGTTTGCAGGGTATCTGATGAAGCATGAAATTATCACATCACTCCCTGGATAAAAATTCTTCATTGTTCATGCTGCATAGTGATACCTATAGATTATAAATGATCTAAAGAAGTAATTATATAAATGTATACGAAGGGTAGGACCTGTGAAAACAAAAGCAGTTTTGGGTGAATGAGTGTCTGCAGATATGTTGACACCTTAGAATGAAAGTTTCTTTCAGCACAGCAGGACCTGTTTTAACAGTCAAGCTGATTTTGGAAGCAAGTTTCACAGATTAAAGAATCAAAATATTATTAGCGTAATTCTTATCCTCCAGTCAGTCATCTCCATCCATCCACTACCAGCCATTACTGCAATAAAAAAAGGAAGAAAATTTACAGAAATCATAAGAGGATGTGGGTAATTTTAGGTTCAGTAAAACACAGTGGAAGTAGTGCTGAAAAGGAAAAATCCAATATGAAAAAGTATTTAAGTTAGCATTTTGTGAGAAAAAAGTGGTACTCAAAGGCCTACCTGTACCTTATTATGCTTTTATTATTCCAATTATTTCATATACTGGGTAAATATGACTTAGTAGGCCTTGCTAGTACACATATTCCAGTCATTGCTGTTTCCTGTAACATGGAGCTAACTCCAAGACCAAGATATCCCACAGCAAAGAGCATCTTCCATGCAAGTGTTTTATTAGCATTTATTGCAGTTTCATAACTGGATCTCAGAACAACATAGTTTCCAGATTGTTTGCCTGGCATTTTCATAGAAAACAGAACCAAAGGAAACTGAGGAGCTTCATCTTGCATGTAACTAGCAAGGTAACAGCAAGCAGCAGCTTTAAGGTTAACACACTACCTGTTTCCATTTCTTCTTGCTACTCAAATTCAGAACAGTCTCCTCCTGTTCTATTTCTTGTAACCATGCAATCTTGTAGGGGGGTTTTGTTGGTTGGTTTTTTTGTTTGGTTAGTTGTTGTTTTTTAAAAAAATCTGCACGGTCTTTATGCAAATCATGCAGAGGATTTGGAGGCACTGTGACCTAGAGGTCACATTTGGAGGCCGCTGTCCAGTTCACAGCAACTACAGATAGCGTTTAAATACCAAGAGCAGGTAAAGCCACATTTTACCTGATTATTCATTCAAGGTTCA